GTGCTTAATGGGAAAATACGAAATTTGCAGCCAAGAACGCTTTATTCAGCAAGGCTGTCACTCAGAATAGAAGGAGAGATGAAGAGTTCCCTAGAGAAGCAAAAACTGAATAGTTTGTAAGCACTAAGCCAGCCCTGCAAGAAATATTAAAGGGAACTCTTTGAGGGGGAAGGGAAACAAAACCAACAAAGACTAGAAAGGAATAGGGAACATCACCAGAAACATTGAGTTTATAGGTAACATAATGGCACTAAATTCATATCTATCAGTAATCACCCTGAACATAAACAGGCTCCAATCAAAAGACATAGGGGTATCAGAATGTATAAAAATAAAAACAAGACCCATTTATATGCTGCCTACAAGAGACTCATTTTATAAAGACCTAATGACACCTGCAGATTGAAAGTGAAGGGATGGAGAACCATCTATCATGCTAATGGATGTAAAAAATAAAATAGCCAGAGTATCAGGCTATTATATCATACTTATATTAGGCAAACTGGATTTTAAACCAAAATCTATAACAAGAAATGAAGAAGAGCATTATATCATAATTAAGGGGTCTATCCATCAAGAAGATCTAACAATTATAAATATTTATGCCCCCAACTTAAAATACCCAAGTATATAAATCAATTAATAACAAACATAAAGAAACTTATTGATAATAATACCATCATAGTAGGAGACCTTAATACCCCACTTAAAGCAATGGACAGATTATCTAAGCAGAAAATCAACACGGAAACAATGGCTTTGAATGACACACTGGACCAATTGGACTTAAATTATATTCAGAACATGGCATCCTAAAGCAGCAGAATACACATTCTTTTCAAGTGTACATGGGACATTCTTCAGAATAGATCACATATTGGGTTATAAATCAGTCCTCAACAAGTACAAAATGTGGAGATCATACCATGCATATTTTCAGACCACAACACTATGAAACTTGAAGTCAACCACAAGAAAAAATTAGGAAAGCCCACAAATACATGGAAGATTAAATAACATTCTACTATAGGATGAATGAATTAACCCAGAAATTAAAGAAGAAATAAAAAAATATATGGAAGCAAAGGAAAATTAAAACATGAAAGTCCAACCCTTTGGGATGCAGCAAAGGCAGTCTAAGAGAGAAGTATATTGCAATACATGCCTATATCAAGAAGCAAGAATAGTCTCAAAAACACAACCTAATCTTACACCTAAAGGAGCTGGAAAAGGAGCAACATATAAAACCTAAATCCAGCAGAAGAAGAAAAATTAAAAAAACTAAAGCAGTCATAAATGAGAGAGAAACAAACAAAAAAAACAGAACATATCAATGAAACCAAGAGCTGGTTCTTTGAAAATATTAATAAAATTAATTGATAACCTCCTAGCCAGACTTGTCAAAAAGAAAGGAGAAAGAATCCAGGTAAATAAAGTTATGAAAGAGGACAGATCACAACTAACATGACAGAAATACAAATAACTATAAGAGAATATTATGAAATAATATATGCCAACAAACTGTGCAATCTGGAAGAAATAAATTCCTAGAAACATATAAACTACCAAAATTGAAACAGGAAAAAATAGAAAGTTTGAATGGAGCCATAACCAGCAAAGAAATTGAATCAGTAATCAAACATCTCCCAACAAACAAAAACCCAGAGCCAGATGGCTTCCTAAGGGAATTCTACAAGACATTTAAAGAAGAATTAATACCTGTTCTTCTCACACTGTTTTAAAATAAGTAAATAAATAAATAAAGAAGTAAAAGGAAAACTCCCAAACTTCTTCTAGGAGGCCAGGATTACATTGACTCCAAAACCAGAAAAAGACCCCACTGAAAAGGAGAATTACAGATCAATATCCCTGAACATGGATGCAGAAATTCTCAACAAGGTACTAGCAAACTGAATTCAACAGTACATTAAAATAATTATTCACCACAAGTGGTATTTATTCCTGGGCTTAAGTGATGGTTCAATACTCGCAAATCAATCAACATGGTACACTACATTGATAAAAGAAAGGATAAGAACCACATGATTCTCTCAATAGATGCAGAAAAATCATTTGACAAAATACAGCATACTTTCTTGATAAAAATTCTTAACAAAGGAGGGGAAGATGGAACGTACTTCTACATCGTAAAGGCCATATATGAAAGACCTACAGATAACCTCATCCTCAATTGGGAAAAAAATGAGAACTTTTCCTCTATAGTCAAGACAGGGATTTCCACTCTCACCATTACTATTTAACATAGTACTGGAAGTCTTAGCCTCAACAATCAGACAACAAAAACAAATAAAAGACATCCAAATTGGGAAGGAAAAAGTCAAACTTTCACTATTCAAAGATGACATGATACTCTATGTAGAAAACCAAAAAGACTCCACCAAAAAATCTGCTATAACTAATACATGAATTCAGCAAAGTCACCAGATATAAAATCAAGGTACAGAAATCTGTTGCATTTTTATATACCAATAATGAAGCAGCAGAAAAAGAAATCAAGGAATCAATCCCATTTTACAGTTATACCAAAAACCATAAGATATCTAGGAATAAACCTAACCAAAGAGGTAAAAGATCTATAGTCTGAAAACTATAGAACACTTATGAAAGAAAGTGAAGAGAACACCAATAAATGGGAAAACATTCATGCTCATAGATTAGAAGAACAAATATTGATAAAATGTGTATATCACCCAAAGCAATCTACACATTTAATACAATCTCTATCAAAATGCCACCAGCATTTTTCACAGAGCTAGAAAAGCTAATCCTAAAATTTGCATTGAAGGACAAAAGACCATGAATAGCCAAAGCAATCTTGGCAAAGCAAAGCAAACCTGGAGACATCATAATTCCAGACTTCAAGCTATATTACAAACCTATAGTCATCAAGACATTATGGTACTGGCACAAAAGCAGACACAAGATCAATGGAACAGAATAGAAAACCCAGAAATCTTTACAATCTTGGATTAGACAAGAAGTTCTTTAGACTTGACACAAAAAGCATGATTTATAAAAGTAAAAATTGGTAAGCTGGATCTTAAGAACATGAAACTCATCAAACTTGTGTTCTGTGAAAACTTAGACAAGCTATGAACTGAGAAAAAATATTTGCAAACCACATATCTGACAAAAGACCCGGATCTAAAATGCAAAAAGAACTTTCAAAACTCAATAAAAATGCATAAAATTCAGTTGGGAAATTGGCAAAAGATATGAACAGACACTTTACCAAAGAGGACATAGATGTCCAATGAGCACACATAGAGTGCCTGGGTGGCTCAGTCGGTTAAACCTCTGACTCTTGTTTTCATTTAGCTCAGGTCATGATCTCACGGTTCATGGGTTTGTGCCCTACATGGGGTACTGTGCTGTCAGTTCAGAGCCTGCTTGGGATTCTCTTTCTACCTCTCTTACTGCCCCTCCCCAGCTCATTTGCTCACTCACTCACTCACTCACTCACTCACTCACTGTCTCTCTCTCTCTCTCTCAATAAATAAACTTAAAAAAAATGAGCACACATAAAGATGTTCAGCAGCATTGGCCATCAAGGAAATGCAAATTAAAACCATATTGATATATTACTACACACCTATCCGAATGGCTAAAATAAAAATAGTGATACCAAATGTGGGCGTGGGCAAGGAAGCAGAGAAGTTGGATCATTCCTACATTGCTGGTAGGAACGTAAAATGGTTCAGCCACTCTGGAAAACAGTTTGGCAGTTTTTCATAAAACTAAACATTCAGTTACCGTGTGACCCAGCAACTGTACTCTTGGGCATTTCTCCAAGAGAAGTAAAAACTTATGGTCACACAAAGACCTGTACAGAAATATTAATGGCAGCTTTATTTGTATAACCCAACAAACCGAAAACAACCCAGATATTTCTCATCTGGTGCCTGATTAAGCAGATTGTGGTACATCCAAACAAAGGAATACTGCTCAACAGTGAAAAGGAATGAATTACTGATACATGCAACAGTATGGATGAATCTTGAGGGAATTACACGGAGTGAAAAAGAATAAGGTTACATGCTATGTGATTCCACTTGTATATGGTTCTTGAAAAGATAACATTACAAAAATGGAGACTAGATTAATTGTTGACAAGAGTTGGGAAAGAGATGTTGAGCTGGAGCAGGGGGTTAGAGATATATTGGTCTATGAAAGGGCATTGTGGGCTGAGGATCTTTGTGATGATGGAAATGTTCTTCTTGATTGCATCAATGTCAGTCCTTGCTGTGATATTCCCCTACAGTTTTGCAAGATGCTACCATGGGGGAAACTGATAAAGGGTATGCAGGACTTCTCTGTATTTTTCTTACACCTGCATGTGAATCTACCATTACCTCAAGTTAAAAAGTTTAATTTCAAAACTTGGCATTTTAGGGGCACCTGGGTGGCTTAGTCGGTTAAGCATCTGACTTCAGCTCAGCGCGTGATCTCACAGTTCGTGAGTTCGAGCCCCACATTGGGCTCTGTGCTGACAGCTCAGAGCCTGGAACCTGCTTCAGATTCTGTGTCTCCCTGTCTCTCTGCCCCTCCCCCATTTGTGCTGTGTCTCTCAAAAATGAATAAACATTAAAAATAAATAAATAAATAAAGCTTGGCATTTTATTAAACACTTCAAAATTTTGAGTTACATTTTATAGTTGATAAAGATTGCCCACCCACTTAAATGTTGGTGATTCCAAGATTTTCTTAGACAGTGACTGCCTAATCATGATCAAAATTGTGAAATAGATCATTTAGTATTTAAGAATAATTTGATCAGCATTGTAGAAGAATAAACAGATGTGTCTCTTATTAAAGGCCAGTTTTGATTATGAAATAAACAGAAAGCTACAAAATGAAACCTTTGTGAAATGGATAGCAATTGGCCACACTCATTCTGGACCTTGATGGAAATGCTAAGGATCTGTCATCTGGGTTGTCAGAATGAGACTGACTTTCTTCTGCATTTTTCGCTCTCACAGGATCTCCTCTTCAGTGTGTGTGCCCTCAACGTCCTCTCCACCATCGTGTGTGCATTAGCCACGGCCATGTGCTGCATGCAGATGGTGTCTTCTGACGTCCTGCAGATGGTGAGTGGCCCCCTTCCTTCCCAAGCACACTCAGAATGGTAAGCCTGACCCCCTTCTCCTCCAGCCAGTTTGAAACTAACATACAGTGGACACTTCTAGCTTCCAACCAGAAGCCCCAAGGATGATAGACCCTGTGAGTCCATGGTGCCTGGAGCCCTCCTCATGTTTCCCTCTGGAAGACAGAGAACCTGTACATTTGGTACCAGTAATGTATTTATTTTAGACATTGATGGAGCTGCATGTTAATAGAGTCTGGCCACCCCCATGCCCCTCTAGATGGCCCCTAGTGTGTCCCCTGAGTAATTTTAGTGACAAGCCTATAGCCCTAGATAGCCTCTGGGTCCAGCACCTCCAGAGCAAGGTGCCTTCTTCAAGCTTTAATATTCTCTTTTAATAAAGGAAGGTTTTTAGAAGATGAGTTCTTTTCAAATTGAAAAACTGCTCATCTGTGCTTTTTAGAGTTGCTAATTAACCCTGAGTTCATAATCTAGCGGCAGGTCACTGGCTGGCCATCATTTGACCCCCCTGGCCAGGGTCTTACAGTCGAATAACTGCTGCTCCCCAGGGAGAGGAATAAGAATGGGAGCAAGGGTCATGCATTTATTAATACACGTTTATAAGTACATGTTTAGTAAGTAATAAAGGCTCTTTATTATTCAGCATGAATGAAACACAGCCCACTATTTGCTGTGTTACCACTAAAGTCAGTACCATAAAGAGAACTAATGGGAAGACATTGTTCTCTAGTGCTAAGGGTAGGAATCATCTGTGTGTGTGTGTGTGTGTGTGTGTCTGTCTGTCTGTCTGTCTCAGTCTCTCTGTCTCTCTTTTTGCTTCTTCAAGATCTGTCTACCTCCCCTTCAGTGTTTTATGTCTCTCACGAAAGGAGAAGCACATTATTCTTATAGGCTGTTTTATTTGCTCTTTCTTATCCACCCCATGGCAATACATCAGTTCATCAAGATACAGGGCCAGAGAGCGTCATTACCAAGATGTTAAAAATTCATTGGTTTTAATCATATGCAACATCCGCCTCTTTGTCCCAGTGTATATCTACGCAGCTGTCACAGCCGAGGCTGACCTTTCTGAGAAGTGGCAGTTTTCCGAAAGGTATCTAATTAAGCAGTTATTCAGCAGCGATGAACTTTTGGCCCCGCTCACTGAGGCCTCATGTTGGTGATTTTCTCCAGCATGTTGTGTAAAGGAAAGGTTAAGTACCATGGGGTTCTACTCACCTCTGCAGATTTTACTATTGATCTGTAAATATCACACCAATTTGACCAAACTAACAGAACCAAAGTGCTATAAATGTAAACGTTTGCTTTCCCTGGTTTGAAGTGTTATAATGAAACCCACAGACTAAATAAGCATCAGGCCTACAGAAGCTATGATAGCGTATACAACTGCATCATTAAGAGCAGGGTCATTCCCTCGTTCCGCCATGGGGAACCTGGGCATGCCTGGAGTCCTGGGCCTGGCGACAGCCATGTCTGGGTTGGAGTCCCATCTCTTCTGCATATGAAGCAGGGGACTCTAGATGTGTCACTGAACCCACCTGAGCCTCACTTTCCTCACCTCTGAAATGGACCAAATGACATACCTGGTGAACATTCAAGAAACATGACCTATTCGACTCATAAATGTGGGCAGAATATTGTTTGTTACTGAGCTACCACAGTGAATGCCATGGTCCTGATGTACTTTGCCAACTGTAAACACCACAGGGAAATAAGGTGTTTTTGCAACTATGACAGCCACCTTCACAATCTCTGGTTGTTTCATGGCTGAATGAAGTTTGATTCTAACCCCTGGCTTAAGCAGAAATCGGTTAAATTCCTCCAGGCAAGTCCTTTCCCTTTGTGACCATGGGCTATGGGACCAGATAAGCTCAAGGAGAACAGGTGGTATATGACCATGGTGCCTTGTGGAACCAGTGCATGACTTTGGGCACATCACTGCCTGTTTGTCCCAGTTTCCTCTGCTGTATGTAAGGCTGTTAATACTCTGTTGTCCTCCCTGGCGCCAGTGAGAAAGAAATCATATAATGCATGTATGTGAGCTTTGAAAAACCCTGGTGGTCATATGGAGGAGGCGGGCTTTGACCACATGGGTCAGAGCCTGGGCAAAGCTGGCCACACAGGCTGCACCCTTGAGAAAGAAGAAGTGGAAAGCCCAGAGGCTCATGGGTATGCCTTATAGGATGGAAGCTGGTACCAAGTTATTCATGAGGATGCCTCAAGCTCTTTTTAATTTTTTAGAAGAGTCTTCTCCTTTTTCTCCAGCTATACTCCATTCTAATTGACTTTAATTTTCTTCCTTCATTTCATTAGACTATTTAATTAAAGAAGTAATGTATAATCACTGAAACAAGTAAAATATAGAGATAGATAAAAGCATAGTTAATAATCTACCTTCTCCCATCTCATTCTCCTGAAGAAACTTTGCAGTGAATCCTTCCATTTCTTTACTGATTTCCTAGTGTTTATATTAACATATATGACTAGTCTATTTTCCTTGTTTCTCCTTCCCTTCTTCCCTTCATCCTTCTCCTTCCTTCCATTATTTCTTCCTTTTAACCAAATGGGATCACGCCATTCATTATCACTCTGCAGCGTGGTTTTAATAGCCTGAAGCTCTCACAGACATCCCTCCAGGTTAATCTACACAGAAATGTGTTTGTGTGCACAGTGAGTCATAATATGGATGTAACGTCAGTCAGTTGGCCATCTATGAGAATGCTTGAGTTCTTTCCTATCTTTTTTTTTTTTTTTTTTTTGAGAGATGGCACAAGTGAGCAACGGGCAGGGAGAGAGAGGAACAGAGAGAGAGAGGGAGAGAGAAGCAGGGTTCATCCTCACCTGAAGCAAGGCTCCTGCTCACCCAAAGTGGGGCTGGAACTCATGAACCATGAGATCATGGCCTGAGCCGAAGTCAGAGGCTTAACCAACTAAGCCATCCAGGTGCCCCTTTCTTTTTAAAAAAAAATTTTTTTAATGTTTGCTTATTTTTGAGAAACAGAGACAGAGACAGAATGTGAGCAGAGACAGAGACAGAGTGTGAACAGGAGAGGGGCAGAGAGAGAGGAAGACACAGATCCTAAGCAGGCTCCAGGCTCTGAGCTGTCAGCACAGAGCCCAATGCAAGGCTCAAACTCACAAACCGCGAGATCATGACCTGAGCCGAAGTTGGACACTTAACCAGCTGAGCCACCCAGGTGCCCCATGGCACCCCTTTCTTATTTTTGATTTTGGTTTTGTTTGTGCCTGTGCAGATGGTGCTTTAGTAAGCACATACAGTCATAGCTCCCTTAGCCCACCTGTGCTGACCCCACTGGCTGGGTAGCCATGGCTCTCCATCCCACCCATAAGACGCACTGCCTGCTCCCCACAGCACATTTGTTCACCAGCAGCCTCTGTGGTTCACTCATGTGCCATCTCTGCTCCCTGTAGTCGGGTTACAAGGTTTCCAGGGGACAGTTGTATCTGTCTCCAAAGCAGTCTATGTCAGTGGCATTTGGATTGAAGGTGCATATTTTAGTACTATATAAGCCGGTGAAATATGAGTGCAACAAAGAGAATTGCTTCTTTTATAGAAAAGAACTGAATGCTTTGGAACAATTCAGTGAAGGGTCCCCAGATATATTGCTCTCAATTTTGGTGTAGGTGAGATGATTATAAGAAGTTGAGATACAGATTTTTAAAAATCTAGGACGTGTCTGCACACACATTGTTTCACAAGTATCTTTAAGCTCCAGCTCTGCTCCAAAAGCACAGAAATGCAAAACAAACTCATTCTCATAGGTGTAGTTTCTACAATAAAGACCACAGGGCGCTCCAGACAGAGACTCACAGCAAGGGCCTTAGCCTGGCATGGAAGGAACTTATTTCTTATTTCTAGGGATCAGCATTTGGGGATAAATAACCATTTGGGGAACTCATATAATGAATGCATGTATACATGAGATGCAAAGCTTTATGCCTGGTGTCAGAATTTAGAATGCTGAAGTACTCTAATATTTTTGGAAATAGTGGCAAAAGGCGATCTGAGTGTAAAATTCAGTTTATAGATATGGTTTCGTGGAGAAAGCTTTTACCTCCAAAGTGTCTCTAATCTCACATTTTTAGTTTTATTTCTTGAGCATAATCTCATTTTCCTATTTTCCCATTCAGCTCTTTTCCTCCCCACATACTTTATTGGCAGCCAGTTTAGCCCAAAGGACATCATCTGCTATTACATGCATCTCCATTAGGTACTTGCCTGTGAACTTCGTATTTTATTATTGTCGTTTATGTTCTCAACACTAGTCACGTGTCCTGTAAAGCAGAACACCTCCAGAAAGTGCAGACAGGGCATCATTGCCCATGGAGAGAGCAAGGGGTGTCACGGCCAGAGACGGTTGGAACACCACCTCCTGGAAGCCCCAGAATCTCTCAAGTTCACCAGTATCTTCACCTCTCTGGCTCACCCACTGCCTGTCCAGGAAGTTGGCCCTCCTTGGACCCACAATGGCCTTCCTTGAGGTCTGGGTTTACCAGAAACATCTCTAGGGAGTAGGTGCTACTTAATATATATCAGACTAGGACCCAAGGGTGCCTGATTAATCTTAAAATCTAGTCATAGCAGATAATCCTAAAAGTGATACATAAAAGCTACAAACACTTTATTTTCACTTTAAGTATGCAGATGAGCATTTACCCATCAGGGTTTTTGATTGGGGGCCAAGATCTTCTGTTCGATTATGGGTCTACACATTGGTGTACCAAGTTGCATTTCTTTTTTTTTTTTTCTTAACTTATTTATTTTTGAGAAAGCACAAGCAGGGAAGGGGCAGAGAAATGAGGACAGAGGATCCAAAGCAGGCTCTGCATTGACAGGCTGACAGCAGCGAGCCTGATGCGGGGCTCAAACTCACGAAGATCATGACCTGAGCTGAAGTCTGACACTCAACCAGCTGAGCTGCCCAGGTGCCCCCCAAGTTACATTTCTTGTATAAACTTCAT